GGAATAAGCTATTTAACCAAGGTCTTTATTCTGTCGCTGACCACTCTTCAAAAACAGGATGTGTGGAAAGTGAGTAGGGTGATCTCACTACTGAAACCTAGGAAACCCGTCAATTAAGCGCAGTCTCATAGTCCAATAACTCTCATTTCAATTGTAGTGAAAACATTTGAGGCCTAACTTCTCCCAATGTTCACTCACCACCTGAAATTAGCAGAGCATCAAAATCAAATAGGGACGGATGGTAAGGATTTTTGCATTTTTTTCGGTCAGTTAATTCGACAGTCTGCACTTGAAGAAAATACGAAACTTGATTCCCCGCCTTGTGAATTTTTATAATTTTTATTCCATCCAACATAGTCTATAATATTTCGTAGCAGTGAGTATCACATATTTTCCTACACTGAATCGGGTATATAATGCCACGAAGTTTGTAACGCCCGGAAGGACATGGCAAGACCCAATTAAGCATGAAGTATATAATCGATAAGCTGAAATGATGAGGCAATTAAGTCAAGTCCATCGGCATAAACGCAAAGCAGACAAATTTTAAGATATCAACCTGAATTTTAGTATATGTCCGTTTTTCTCCAAGAAGCTGCTCATTTCTAGTTATTGAATCCATATCATATCTCATACAAACGTCAACATAAAGCTTTTTTATACCCTCATACGCTATAAGAAATGCACCTGTGAACGATTTTAAAGCCTCTGTGCAGCCGAAGTTATTCTTTTTCTTAAAAAAAAAATGGTATTTTTATTATTCTAAAAATATGTGTATAACTTTCATAAATGTTTATATTAAATAAAGATATATTGCGACATCATTTTTTTAAGTAAGAAAACACACACACACACAAATACATACATAAATTCCTGCACATATATGTCTCACTCACCTGTTTACACATGCGTACATTCATTTATGCACATTAATACTTGAAATGTATGTAAACAAACATATAAATGTACGCATACTTATACATACATATCCGCTTATTTACATATCAACTGTGCAAATATTGACGAACGTCGCGCAATGAAACCGCAAACAATTCACAGTTTGCGTTCATTAAAAAAGTGTGTGTATCGATGCCGACAAACCTTTATACAAACTCATATGCAGCGTATTCATATATTTCTACAATAAAAATGAATATTTGCTTAAGTGTGAGCATTTCACAAACAACAACAAATAATAATGATCAATTAAAACACGCAGTGTGTTGATTGTTAATTGAAAAGTGAATTATGTAAATATACAGGGTGTGACAAAAGCACTCTTGCTTTCATAACGAGAACAAAAAAAGAGGAAAATGATTTAATGAACGAATTATCTACCATTTTGGCCGACCACTTTTCCCCATTTTTCCCCTAGAGACATTATTCCATCAGTGTAAAAAATTTCTGGTGCATTGACGAAAAACTGCGACAAGTAATTTTCACAGGTTCCTTTTGAAGCCAACTTTACTCCACCAAGGGAGTTCTGCATTGACCGAACCATATGGGAGTCCGATGCTACAAGGTCAGGGTTATATGGTGGATGCATGGAAACTTTCGCATCGAAGCTCCTCCAGTTCTTGCCGAGTCATCAAAGATGTGTGTGATTTAGCGTTGTCCTGATAGAAGACGAAGCTCTTTCTGTTGATAAGTGCAGGCCGTTTTATTCGACTGCTTGTTTTAATTTCATCAATTGCTGACAGTAAAATCTAGATTAAATCGTTCGCGAAGTTTGAAGCAGCTCATATTGGATGATTCCTTTCCAATCCCACCAAACACTCAGCATTATATTTCGACTCGTCAGTCCTGGCCTTGCGACTATTTGTTGAACTTCACCACGCTTGGATCGTGATTTTTTCGAACATTACTGTCATATTTGATCCAATTTTCGCTTTCTGTTACCATTCGCTTCAGTAATGGTTCGATTTCATTTTCGCAGATGTTAATTCGGTCCACTAAATTTTTCACAGACAATTCAAATGGTACCCAAACATCGAGCTTCTTTTTGTAGTCAGCTTTTTTTATGGGGTTCAAAACCTTTTGATGATGAATGTTCAGCTTCTTAGCGATGTCATGGCAGTTTATGTGACGTTTTTGGTCAATCTTTACCATAATTTCACCGTCTTTTTCAACGATAGGTCGACCAGAGCGTGGTGCATCTTTCACTCCGAAATTTTCAGAACGGAAACGAGCGAACCATTGTTGTGCTATACGATCTGATACAGCATCATCTCCATAAACTTCTCAAATTTCATTGGTGGCTTGCGTGGCCTTCTTCCCTTTTTATAAAAAAAATTTCAAAAAATAGCGAATTTCTTCATAATTTTTACTCATTTTTGAACAGCTGTAACTTTTCTTCAACTTCACCGAATTTAATTTTTTTTGAATAAGTTAAGCTTAAAATTTCACATATTCAACACTGTTTGGTATGATACATTAATCATATTGTGCATTTGCATTGTGCAAAGTCATAACTTGAAAAATTAACTAGCTTTTTATCCACCCTATATACACATACCTAAATGTACATTTCTTTTCACATAAATCTTTTAAAACGCGGAAGTTGTAATATTTCGCTGCCCATTATGGCAGTTATTATCACTTAAGTGCTGTAGTAATCGTTAATTAACCCTTAATTGTTTCATTTGTAGCAATATTAATATTATTGGCATTACTTTAAGCACCTTTTAGATAACATAGTTATCCAAAAAGTGTTTACTTAGATTATATAAGACTTGACTCATCGTAAAAATGCTCACTTCTTAAGAAAAGTAGTGGTCAAAATCCAGTAATGGAGCAAAGAGGTCATAAATAATAGAAAATCGCCCATAATCTCAATATTTCACTTACAATTAACCCTCGTAGCAACGGCTAGCATACCACCATTATACTTTCTATTCATATAATAAAATGTTCTATATGTTAATGGAGATATCCCCTTAATAGAGCGTCTATTAATAAGAGTAGTTTTTAATTATGAATAGTTTTTGCTATGCTGCCTTATAAGTTGGGCCGAACTGAACATAGTGTGCTAAATTTTGCTAAAATCGGTTTAGTAGTTTAGGAGTTCATCGCGGACAAACAACGTCACACGTAACTTTATACATTTTATATATTTCCTTACTCAACTGCAAAGCAATGCGCTGGCGCAGCAGCTTGTACTTCGTTATTATTTTCTTATTAAAAGATAAGCTAGAAATATGTAAATATATACTTAAATCTAAATATGTATACATTGGTGGTCATATAGTTGGAGTGTTATTACGAAACATTGGTTTACTTTCCAAACAAAAATAAAAACATGTCAAAATCGGATTTCTTATCAGCAGAACAAACTTTTTATACCGAAGAAACCTAAAAATAAATTTAATATAATACACAATAAAAACAACGCGATATCGAAATAATATGGAAATATTTTTTCATGACCAATATACCGATAATATGTTTTTTTTTTTTCGAAATATTTCAATAAACATTTATGATTTTGTTATATTTATGTGTGAACCGAAAATAATAAGCCTTTTTAATTTAAATTTCGCATGAGAACCTATTCTTCAAAATATTGGGAGTATTCAGACTTTTTTAATTCGGAAGCGTCAGAGACCTAATAAAATATGTATATTGGGTAGTCGGAAAAGTCTTTCGGTATTTTGTCAATAGATGTCGTTGCAGCCATATGTCCCCAGTGGTAGCAATCACATCGTGTCATACCATACAGTGTTGGAAAGCTAAGATTTATTATTATTAATTGGGAAGGTGCCGGTGCCCAGCTGGTTGATGTCCTCGTTAGAGTGAAGGCTGACATCACCGCCGTCCAAGAAATGCGATGGACGGGAGTAGAGCTGAGACGAGTAGGTCCATGTAGCATTTACTACAGTGGCTATATAAAGGAGCGCAAATTCGGTATGGGATTCGTGGTGGGAGAGAAACTCCGTCGAGGAGTACTGCCATTCACCCCGGTGGATGAACGAACTCTAGTCACAATTCGCCTCAACATATCGCTGATTTGCACTTACGCCCCGACGGAAGAGAAGGACGATGTGACCAAAGATGCTCGCCACAAGATATCTTTGGCACTATGGTTGAAATATCCAAAAATGGGTTAAGGCTGATCGAGTTCGTGATCCCCAAATATGGTGCGCCAAATTTTGGAAAAGACCCGTGAAAGTAGAATCGACACACACCACCTCTTCGTCGATTTCAGTTGTTCAGCTGAATTGCAGTTACGAGTATTATGCCACTAAACACATTATTCTAGCAAATTCTGACGCTACCATACACTAAATATATTCTGTGCTACCAATCACATTATATCACATCATACGATAAGCGACATCAGCCTTAAATTTGCTGCTGGTGCGCTCAAGTATAGTGAAAAGATGTCTAGACTTCTTATCTGTAGCAAAAATCTATTTTGTGATTAGATTGATATGGGTGCCTGGCCACAGCGGTGTTACAGTATACAGTAATGTTGATGAGCTTGACGGGTACTTCAGTCCCAATAACTTACAATAAGAAGCTTTGTTGGCTTCCTCTAGTTCACTACTGGATCATTGGGTCTAAGTTCAGCTCAGCAAGCGTTGGTCAACAAGCAGAAACTGTGCAGTCCTTCTGGCGCTGAGTATATGGTAAGAGGTTTAGGAAACTCCTCGCTCTCAATTTAAATCTTTCCGATCCGTTTTCATGCGGTACAATTTGACAGCTGCATCAGCTGTTTGGCATAAAATGAGACTGAATCATCTCAACAATTCCTCCTTGAATGTCTATAGTAATTTCTTATTCTGATTAAGCATAATACGGAAAAGGTTGAGTTTTTTGTGTATGTACATAAGTATTTGAGTATATTCTCCGAAAATTTCAAATTAAACTGGAAACTAGTTTCGGAGGTTGTGCATAAGTTTGTAAGATCTTTTTAACTCATGCTGTTTGCAGAGTCGGTGAGCGAAATTTCTCCGAGACGGTTGAATTTTATACATCACTTCCTAATATTCGACAAATATTCATCCGGCAATGACCGAAGGTGTCAGAAAATTTTCCTCACCGTATGACAACTTTTTTCGGAGATCCTCCTGGAGATGGCCTATGGGAAAAAGGAATTGCAAAATTTTGAAAAACTAATCACCATTTATTGAATTATATGAAATTCTGTAAGTGCGCAATTTTTATTTTGTTCATTCTTGCAAGTGAATATAATTCTCTAACCCCATCCAAACCGGCTTCAAAAGTATAATTATAAAACTTTAATTTACTACAAGTTAGTCGAATATTATTTATCTGTTCTGTAGATCCTGCAAGCTCAAAACGTATCAATAAAGTAGTTGCTGCATTCTTATAGGACACAGTTCTCACACAATTCATCTTAAAAATAAGTATGAATACATACGGATCTGATATGAAAACTTTCTTCAGATTTTGTAGCAGACATTTTGGCCAATGCCCAATTTTGTATCGATTGTATTGATTCTTAATCAATGATATTTACACTGCTATCACATTCTGCGACACTGACGAGTCACTAATAACACAATAAAATATTTAAAACAAAGTCTCGTTATGAAGTAACGGTTTTATTACTAATTTTGGTACCTCCACCGAATTAATTTTGATAGTTTGAAACATTTGTTTGTTGCATGAATCTTTCAATAAAATTTTTCAAATCATATATGTCACAATTCTTCTTCGGTTGACGCAACTCACAGATGGCATAAAGCTTAACCATGCAATTGTTATCATTCATATAGAATATATTATTAATTGGCCAAAGATGTACACAATCCTCGATTCTAGCAGTATTATCTGGCTGACCGCTTGACCATTTAGCATAAGACATTGGGCGTCCGTCTTTGATTGACATAAATTTACCCTCCGCGGACAAATCGGTAAGACCCAACCAAAACTGTTTACCAATGTAACCATTCGTGGTTAAATAAGAACTCACTGCATTCATCTCAGCTTCCGATTCAATTACAGCTAAATCACTATCAAAGTTGCGACAGTAAAGCATCGCATCGAACCACTTCATCTGTAAACAAAAGATCTGAATTACATAATTTTAATTGTGAAACTTCCAAGTAAATTACCGTAGAAGTAGTATTTATTAGGTAATGTTTACCACCGATCTCTACGAAGGGTTGTGTCTCATTCTCACCTACAATTTAGAAATAATTATACTTGCTGTAGAAAAAGTTCATATTCTTCCTGCAGAATGACTCACCGCGATTGGATGTACTAATAGAATTGGATAAGACTCCCGCAAAACACAAAATTAAAATACAACATTTTGTCAAACCCATTTTGTCGTTGATTAATTAGTTTATTTACACCGCAAGCAAGCAAAAACAAGCACAACCGACACCGAAAAATGTTCATCGAACAATGTGATCATAAACTGGAATACCCAATTTATATACGAATATAGATCTATGTTACACTAAATTTCTAAATTTCGCAATTTTACAAAAAATTCTGCAATTCCCACAACAATGAGTGAGCAAATCAAAATTCGACAGAAACTGAGTGTCTCTAAGATTCCTACAATAATGCGTGTGCTGAGCAGAATTCGACGGAATTGCAGTTTGATAAAAGTTTTCAAAGTAAATAGCTTCGACCAGCTCCTGACTTCTAAATTTCGGAGAAATACTTATATGCATGCCCAATGTAAGGCTCTGCTTTTCGAGTGAAGCTTAATCCGAATAAGACATTCAAAGAGGAATTGTTGAGATTATTCAGTCTCATTTTATTTCAAACAACTGATGCAGCTGTTAAATTTTATCGCATGAAATCCGTTCGAAAGGATGCAACTTGAGAGTGAGGTGTTCTCTAAATCTCTTACGATATACCCTGCGCCAGAAGGACGTAGTGAACTTCTGGAAGCCAACAAAGCTCCTTCACATACTCATTTGTCATTTATTGAGACTAAAGTAGTCAAGCTCATCAGCATTACTGTTTTTACAATACCATACACCAAAATAACTAGATGCTAGAGTTAAGGAGTCTAGACATCCTTTCACTATACTTGAGCGCACCATATCGCATATCTATTATCACAGTGGATAGTTACCACTCTGAAAGAGGCTGCGCTCAGGAAATCTCAAACTGAAGTTGATAGAAAGTTCTTCTCCAAAAAACTTTATTCTATCCACAAAAAAGATCAGCCCACCTCTCCTTCAGCAAGTCCTTCGCTTTCATACCTCTCGCGAAGGTATGAAAGCTGGGAAACGACAGGCCGGTTTTGGCTGGTCGACCTACTTAACCCAGTATTTTGCAATGAAATCAAAGTGAGCGATTATTCTAAAGTGATCAGGTTCGCAGTGATCCAAGTATCACGATTATCTGAATTTAAGTGTAACCTTTGCGACCAAACGCCTTCGGTTATCTTCAACGGTGCTATTTTCAGCAAAATATTCAACGCCACAGTTGTTGTGATTCCTGGTGCACCACAAATACTGATGAGTATAATGGGAGAAAGCACAAAAATTCATTTAAAGATAAAAATATAAATGAAAGCATTATCCATGTCTTCAAGTACAGTTATGATGTTCTAAAAGAACTTCTTTTTAGTCAAAGTGCTATAAGCAGCTACCGTTCTAATCTAAACCACTGATATTAATAGCTTTACAATTTTACATTTTTTCTAAATCCGACTGCAATTTATGGATTGTGAATCATAATTTATGATCTCATCACTTTCAATCAAGGCAGCTGCAAATGATCTGCAGCAACTGTGCAACTATTCGGTATAAGCTGCATAATAACTTAACAAACTCATTACAGGCAGCCCTGTGCAAGTCATCCAAGCATTTAACTAACTAAGTCATGAAGATGGGCTACACACAAACTAGACACACCAGCGCTTGTACATTGTCACGGCACCCACACCATTCTCAACAGCGGGCTTAAAGACTCAGTTTGCGCAGGTATTGTCCGCAACGGTTCAAGTATTAACAAGGAGGATAATCCGAAAAGGTCCTTAGCGTGCTTAAAGCATTTAGTGGTGAAGTTTTCACATCGTACCGCTGCCTGTCACTTAGTTTTCACTCAACCGTCGCGCTTGCCGCTGCAGTTAGCGCCCGCGTCAGATTAGGTCGTGGCGTCGTTCGCTACTTGCTGCTACTTTCTAACTTTCTATGAAAGTTATGCCACTTTTTTCTCGTCTACTTGGTTCTGAGTTTTCTAATATATTCAAAGCACCCTCGACGACAACGACAACGACGACGACGACGACACATGCATAGATTATCACCTGTCAAGTTGGAAATTTTTTAGAGCGCAACAAATGAAAGCAATGGAATTGAAGTATGAAAAGTTCGCAGCTAAGACGACGGTGTAACGGAATATGTGTCAAATTCTATAGAAAGCTGTAAGTGCATACACAGTTAGTTGCAAGTAAGCATGTGTGTATTGAGATCATAATTTCGATTGAGTTTGGTTGGGTGAGAACTCAGCTTTAAAAATCCACCAGATCATCTATATAGTATGTGTAAAGTGACGTTTTTATTGTAATATTGAAATGTGTTACTAAGGCAATAGATTTTAGCGGAATATAACGGCATAAAGCGGACTTTTGTCATAATGCAAAAAAGGCAGTAGCCTTCGTCGGTCCAGAAAAAGTTTTTGAGTGTAGTAGGTAAATAGCGAGGTAAGACGAAAATCTGAAGAGATTATTTAGTTTGTTCCTTTTCTGTCTGACTAGTTCGCTTACATGTCTCCCAATAAGCCAGTGATCTGTTAGTACTGCTACTAGAGTTCCTTTTGAATTTTAATGGTCAGCATGTGCGACCCACTTCCAGTCATGCCACGTTTGCTTGCTTGTTAAGAAAGTTAGGAACTGATTCCAGCGAGGCTCAGCTAGATCTACAACATTCCTGTCTATTAAATACCTAGAAGTAGCCATAGGCATATATATTTTTTCTTTATCGAAGTATAACTGTAGGGTGGTTCACTTTCTGGCTAGTTCATCTGATTTACAGTTACCAGGAATGTCACAATGTCCAAGAAACCATTGCAGGATTAACGTGAAATAGGTTGTTAGGTCCTCTAAGAGATCTCAGTTTTTTCTCCATTGTAACCCTATGATACTTTAGTGATTTCAATGCCGCTTTACTATTTATATACATATATAAATATATTTCGTGAAACTCTTTATTTAACTTTGAAGATTTTTGCTGAGAACACAAAACAGTCGGGAGGTGATTCTGGCATCTAATTTTTTTTTTTAAATACACCTTCTTCCACTCGAGTATCTCGTTGCGACCCATCTGCACAGAAACTTGTACTTATGTCCTTGTCCACCTCACCCCAAACCCACTCTCCTCTGGAAGGTAAGGCAATATTGGACACCGAATTTGTGTAAGTTTGATTCTAAATGATTTCGAAAATTTTTGATGTTGGGTTGAAAGAGAAACTTACTAAACATCGTGATCTGCCATATATTACAGACGACAAATAAGTCTCAGTCGTAGGCAATAAATATAAATTAATTATAATATTGAGTACAGTTATTAATGGAAAACCTGCGTGGATTAAACTTGCTTCGAAAGGTTTATTGGCTAGCACTTTAAAGAAATGAGAACGCTTTAAGAAGAAGCATAGTTTGGTATCTAGCTCGGACAATATCTTTATTTCCGTAAAACTAGCAATTCCCTTGATGATAAGATAATAAAGGACTATGGAAATTAATTTATAAAATTCATAATCCGCGATCCCGAAAATCCACGAGTAAAAAGTTTCAAGCGAATCCGATCAATTTTAATTTTTCGTCCGCCATATTGGATCCACAGTTTTGAATTTTCAGATTCATAGGTCAGTTCAAGGATCCCAAAAACCTCGTGTAACAAGTTTCAAGCAAAGCAAAATCCTGACTTGATGGGGCAAAGCGGACTTCGGCTCAGTCCATATTATGGGGAGACGTAGAAAATTCGGTAGAGACACTAAATATTAATGTCTGTAACGAAACTGTTCGAACAAAACTTCAAAGAAACCGGAATGAAAGTGAAAACTAAAGTAAACAAACTATTGCTTAAAGCTAAACAAGCGCTGCACGCCTCAGTAATATGCAAATTGAGATATTCAATCAGGCCAAAATAAATGGTTTGGAATCTAATGGAAGAATATTGTCTAGGTATGACAAACATTTTAGTATAACTCAACATTCAACAAATGTTAAAATATGGTGGTGGCTCCCTTATATTACAGATTACATTATTTTCTTGGCAATAAATTTGGAATTCTTCGTAAAATCAATGAAAATATGAAAGTCCAGGATGTCGAGATCTTAAATTGAAAGCGTTCAAAATACAACTTGTGCAAGAACTGGAGTCGCTGAACCTTCCCAAGCGACGTCGCTTCGCGTTATGGAATCTTGAAAAGTTCCAAGAAGATCCGACATGCCAAATTTTGCTCAGCGATGAGTCCCATTTTGGGTTTGTAAAACATTGCATTGCATTTGACACGAAGAACATCATCTAGAAAAAATAACCGCTTGGTATGTGGAATTACCGATCCATACTACTCCAAAAATGATGCCGGTCAGAGCGTAACCGTCAATGGCGACCGTTATCGCGACACGAGAAACGACTATTTTATGCTTAAAATTGCAGTTCGTAAGCTCGACGACATTTGGTTTTAACAAGACGGCGCCACTTTCCACGCATGGCATCAATCCATGAATTTATTGAAACAACATTTGGGTGAGCTGATAATTTCACATTTTGGGCCGGTCTATTGGTCACCAAGATCGTGTGATATCATACCGTTAGACTTTTTCCTGTGGCGATAAGTAAAGTCTTAAGTCTATGCGGACAATACCTCTTCGGTTTAGGACTTTGAGCAAAAAATCACGCGTGTCATTCGTCAGTTACCAGTCGAAATGCTCAAACGAGTAATCGAAAATGGAACTCAATAGATGAACCATCTGATACGTAGTCGCGGCGAAAATTTGAAAGAGATAATTCTCAAAAAATAAATGTCAAAGAATGATAATAAACATTCCCCATTCGACGTCTGTGTTTTTTTATTTTTTTACATGTTTACTATTATTTTTCATCCTTTTTAGCTAAAGTAGAGTAATTTTGAACTCCCGCTTATACTATTTATTAATTTCCCGTTGGATTCTAAACCCAACACATTTCCATAAATTTTACGACATACTTATGTATATACAAATAATCTATAAATATATGTAAAATGCATAAATACGCTTTGTCAAATACCAGACTAAATTATTATGCCGTTCTTTCTGCAAAAGCTGCATAAATTTACGTTCACATAAATTCTATTTAAAATTAATAAATTC